AGTGCTGTCCCCTGCAGCGTGATCATACGGTCACATTTCACATCAAGGGCACAGCAAATGTCGCACCTGCGCTGGGCACTCCTCTGTCACTTACTGTCACCAACAGGTTCTATCCCCTCAGCAGAACCAAAGGCTACAGCAGGGATGCACATGGTGGGCACCAAACTGAGAGACCACATGCTCTTCACATGAAGGACAGCAGCAGTTTCTGCAGTCTCTGTTTTGGAGGGATTACACCACCTTTTTTATAAAGTTTATTAGTAAACTCAACAAATATGGCAGGCGGTCTGCTCTTCCCACTTCACAGCACAAGAGTCTGTGCAAACTCATCTCACAACCTGGGCTAGCAGCTCAAGCTGCACTTTGGGTTCTTTGCTGTATTTTCAGATAATTTTACACTGCTGGTACAAGGCCTATAAAGAACAACAAACACCTGAATCCTTCATGTCACCTGCCAGTACCAAGTAAATAAAGCAGGCTATGAAGGACCTTCACATATATGATGTATGCCAACTGAAATGCAAATGCTGATATATCAATAACCAATACATGATATATATTCAACTGAAACACAGATGCTGATGAATCAATAACCAACAGCTTGAAGCTTACTCTGCTTTTATGAGAGCAGCCCTTGCCTGCTTGAGTGGATCCTGTCTCTGCCTCTCATAAAGAAGGCACAAGTCATCATTTTCTACCATCAGATGATATCCATGATATGACTTTTCAGGTTTTGTTTCATTCATAAATTTCTTCAGGCTTCCCATGCATATGAAAAGTGGGAGGAGGAAGAATCTGCTAAGTTTCTCTAAAAYGGAAATGCTTTACTGATATAAAGATGAAATCAATGTCTGACTCAATAGTGTTATGGATTGACACCAGATGAGGATGGGGGTGGCTGATCTCACACAGCCTTGCTGAAATGGCATCACAATAATCAGGAAAGAGAAAGCTGACGAACTGTGACAGGGAAGAAAAATTCATGCTTCAGTTCAAAGAATTCTTTGGTTCCCCTTGGATTTTGTTCAAAATCCAACTACTTCCAGGGGCAGCAGGAAGAAAGGATGCCTCTGACAGATCCCCAAATCCATTACTTCCACACAGGGATGGGAAATCCCAGTGAACATATCTAAGGCTGACATTCTCTTTCATATCAAAACRTAAGAGATCAGAGAGGCCATTAATAATATTTTAGCTTAAAAGAAAATAAATGCAGGGAAGAAAAACATAATTAAGGCTGTGGATTTGCACCATGAATAACATATTTAACCATTTTATAATAATTTGCAATGCACTTCTAAGCTTCTCACAGGAGGAATTCAAATGCCTAAATCATCACACAGTATCATCTCATCTACTGATAACCKGTCTAATCCAGCCTCATTTCTACTGACATTTCCTTCCTCTGCCATGTGCTCCAGATAGAAAGGCTTTCAACAGGCAGTGTGATGTACTTAAATTTCAGAATTAGAGCCAAAAACCTTTATTTCTGTTCTGCATGATCCCAAGAACATAAACCAATTTTCACATTTCTGAGAAAGGACAGGATTCCCATGCCAATACAACAGGCTGATCACTTTTAACTTCAAAGTACCTGTAGACAAAAGCCAAAAGCAGCCACTCAGTACTGCCACTACTGTGCACTGGACTCCAAAAACAAAGACAGGTCCCCGAGTCTTTCTCCTGGAGAGACCTCTACCATTCAAARCAAACTGAATCTCCTTTGAAATGAACAGCAATAACCTGTAGTTGGTAGGACAGATCATTGGTCCCTTCTGGTCAGCCTCGAGGAACAGCTCATTACACTGTCAGAACAGTTCATTACACTTCACAGATGAGGAAATGGAGATACAAGTGCTCCAGGATGTTATCTGAGATGTACTCAGAGATGAAGAATAAAAAAGGTATTGTAATTAATCCACAAATAACAATGTTATCCCATTCTAGTTATTCTGAGAGACATAGGAACAAGTAACTCCACAATGCAACAATTTCAATTCCAGTGATCACATGCATTGCAAGCTGCTGCAATGAGAAAAAAAAAAAATCCCGATTTTGTTGTCATTGAGTAAAAAAATACCTGGGAGTAGTACCACAGRAGAATGAGAATTCAGGAAAAAGACATCCAAGGACAGGACTATCTTTGTGTTTTGCACTTGCACAGAACCTAGTGCAGATTMTGAACATAATAAAGTCTTTGACTTTAACACACAACTATGGCAGTGTCAGATGCTGCTCTGAAGTTACCATTTCTGTTCTAGGGGTTCCCAGCACACAGTTCTGCAGGCAGAACAAAATCAGTGAGCACTCTGGACACAAAGCCCAAACACTAAAGGTGAAGTGAGGTAAGAGGAGGTTTTCAGCCTGACTTCCCCCTGAAAAAGGTGAGAAGTGATCACAGGTTCTTCTCCTTCAGCAATATTTTAGAAGTAGAAATTGCCAGGACAGAGTCAGTAACAACCAAATCAGAGACGGTGGAAGCAGCAAAGCACTGAAGAGACAAAGCAAAGGCTTGCTTTTTGTTTTAAAGCCCTTTCTGTAAGCTGAGTCATATCAGACATAACCCCTGTGGAGATCAGCAGAAGTCATAAAAGCACAAAGCAATATTCACAGTGTGACTAAAGCACACCACACCACTTTCCTCATAATCCTTATCAGCTAATAAGATTTAATGAAAAAAACAACTACATAGAGACAAGCAGGGGAGCAAAAAAGCCCAACCAGGTGGCCATTCCACTTAAAGCACAGCTATCTGTACTGATGGATCAACTAGTGATTCATGATGAGATGGGGAAATTGGATTAGACAGATTAAATCCTTGTCATGATCCTAATCTGAAAACCACTGTAYACCAAGGAGTCAGGGATCCATCTCACAGATACCCTGAATGTGTGCAGGTCTGTGCTGTGCTGCAGGTGTATCCTGGCTCTCTGGCCTGCTGGGATGCTCATACTTTCTGGATGCAGGACCAACTCGCTCATCACCTGAAATTAAACCATCTTTGTCTTCGTCTAAGTAGCAACAAACTCTCTTGTGAACATCCTTTTCATCTGGCAGTAGCAGTGATGAATGGAAATGTCTTCAGAAATGAAAAGAAAATGCTCTGAGAGCTGAAAGATCAAAGTGTAAGGGAACCTTTCCRCAGACAGACCTGCACAGTGTGCTGCGTCAGACTGGAGGGTTCTTCCATGTCAGGCACCTCAGGGTTTCCAGGATCTCATGGAATGTAAGATTATTTATKCTCTCCTATTTTTCTTTGCAATGCTAGCTCTAGTAAATGGTGTTTTAAGCAATACTCTAAAGAGTCCCACATTTATTGCTGGGATCATAACAAAACAGCCCTTCCTGGTGCAAAACATTCTTAAAGGATGATGTACACTCAGTAGTGGAAAGAAAGTGGTGACCAAGCTTGGCTTGCCCTAAGCTTCCTTGCAAAAATCTTGCTTATTACTATGACTACTAAATAGTTAAAATTTACACTGCATATTCATTATTTGCTATTGAAAATGCACCATAACAAGTAATTGGTACTGCCCTCTGCACAGCTGATTCCATGCTGTGACATGTTATTCAGAAAACACTGAAGAGAACASGAAGGTCTGTTCAGCTAATTACCTGACTGGTCAACTGCTCCAGGTCCTGCCCCTATAAGATTTTAACCAAGACCATGTGTCTTAGATTAAATCATCCATCTAGATGTGCATACGCTGAGACAAGCAAGTTAAAACTACTATCTCTGTGTAGACATTCTTTGTTCTTGAGGGTTAGCTGGGTTATACGATAATGTGGTATTTTTYAAAGTGGAAATTAGTCTAGCAGAGAAGAAAGAAAAGCTGCCTTAGACAATACATACTACATGTCACATTGTAGGTGATATCTGCACAGCTATACTGCTCAWATTAAATCTTTTAAATATTTAACATGCTTTCCCAGAATGAAGTGCAAGCCAAATAATGGCTTGCAGCTGAATCCAGATGACAGACTTCCAGAGGCTAAATTCAACTCTAGAGCCCCCTAAAATCTTCACATCTGACATATAATGTCTTACTGATACAGAGACATAWCAAAGATGAAGGTGAGTTTTCCTTTTGATGTTTCATCTCATATGGCAAAAGAGACCTTGAAAATGCTTTTCTGGAAACATGCTGATGGTGCAACATCATGGCACGTTTCTTTCAGACAAAGAAAGTGACAGGCCCTTACAGACCCTCTAAAATAACTTAAGAGCACAACAGATGTTCTCCTGAACCTGAAGGAGATATATCTATATGTACCTGACAGAGAAAACTGGCAAATTATTCATCTGATGCCATATATTAGCCTTCTCCAGTCACATTTCCAGAAGGGAGATCAGCCATCCTGCTGCCCCACCTTAAGCCTGTAATCCCCCTCCTCCAGCAATTTTCCAAATGGCATCAAAAATGCCTTTTTCTCACTAAACCTCTTCACAGGTGGGCCAGATAAACCTCGAGCTTGCTCCGTTTTCTCCTGTTGCCGGGGAAGAATTTTCAGGGAATTTTTACATGTATTCCCACCTAGAGCACTTCCAGCCATGGAAAAGCTGTAGGACAAGTGCAAAGAGCCACACACTCCTTCTCCCAGRCTGACAGGTTAAAGGGAGAGCGAGAATGTCTTTTGAGAGGGTGGGCGGCAAGTTGCAAAGAGAAAAGGAATATTTGGTATTTCTTTTACAAAACAGATRGAAGAAAGCGGCGGCGGCGGCTGGGAGACCCCGCGGCCGCCTCTCCCACGCCCCCTCGCGAACCCCCAGGCGCGCCGAGCTCGGTAACAAAGCACCGCTGCCCAAATCCATGTCCATTTTGCCACCCGTTGATGCTCCATTCCCTCTCCGGACCCCAAGCCCGTCCATCGCCGAGCGCCGGGCGATGTCACCCGCTCCCTTTCTCCCCTGTCACCTTGCGCTGTGCAGCGCGGCAGCGCTTTGCCCTCCACCCCCYGGTGATTTTCTCATGCTGGAAAATGCCATCTGACCCACCTACCTCCTGCCTCACCCGCCGGGCAGCCGAACACCCCGGCCCCGACAACAACCTGCTAAATTTAGCCCGGTATCCACAGCACGGGCGAGCGGGACCGGCGGCGCGGACACCGCACACACACACACGCGGACATGCGGGCACACCGGGCACACGCTGCAGGTGCCGAGCGGCAGTTACTCACACCACTAGCCTGGAGATGATCCATGAGACCATGGCGCTGCCGCGTACCGCAGGGCTGCCTCTCCCGGCAGGGAGGGCTCGCCCGGTGTCCTCGCCCGCTGCCGGCCGCCGCCCGAGTGCGCGGGGCGGGCGGCTCGGCCATCCGGCCCCGCAGCCTCAGCGCAGCCTCACTGGCGGCGCCGCCCGCAGCCAACGCGCAGCCGGGCCCAGCCGCCCACACTGGGCAGGGCCCGCAGCAGCCCCCCGCGGGAGGAGGAGGAGGAGGAGGAGCCCCCCAGTGCTCCCCGATCCCGCGGGACTCCCCAGCGGGAGACCCCGAGGTGTGCGCGGAGCTTTTTGGTGCGGAGGGGTCCCTGCCCCATCCACGGCACTGGGCAGGTACGCGGGCGCTTCTGGACCACCGCAGCCGAGCAGGACGCGAAGGAAACCCTACCGACCGGTCACATCAAAGTAAAGGCAAAGCTGAGGCACCTGSTTCTATGGTCTTCGATCCATAGAARGAGAAGGATTTCYCCATTTCCCCACACCCCCCAAAGTGTCCKGCACAACGGACAAGGGTATCAGCCACACGATCCAGGTAAATTCCCATCATCATCAGTGATGACAAACAGCAATCTCTCCTTGACGTCAGTTTTCATTAGGGGGTCTCACGGCTGTCAAGTCCAATTTCCATGAGGAGCAGCTGCCCACACACAAAACAACATATGTTGGCTTGACYTGCAGGTTGTTCTCCTTAAGTTTCCTTTGGGTTCTTCTTTCACCAGCACATGCCAARTGTGGTTAGATTGCCTGAAATCATYRTCCCCTGCTTYGTTTTTTCTCTTCTACYACACATGACCATGGCAATTCATSAYGAGGTTTTGTCTTGCAGTAATCYTGCAAGCTTGCCACCAGACCAGCCCCAAGCTTCATTTGGAGGCTGGTCTGTGGAGCAGCTGGTCTGTTTTGGGCATTTGGACCAGGGCTCCAGCYCACTCTGAGGGCACTGCAGGATCCTTGCCTCCCTGCCCCACACATTGCTCTTTTTGAAGACTGGGTGTCTGCAGCTAATATTCCCCATCATTCTGAGACAGCATAGATGAAAGAGGCTGAAAACCTCTCATGTGCTGTGAGCAACCTGGGATGAACTCTTGTAGGGAGAGACCGAACGTTTCAAACCAGAGGTATCAGTTCTAGGAGCTGATCAGAGACTCCTCCAGTCCCAGGTTACCACAGACATCCTCATAGTCCTGTCTATAGAATCCAGCCCTTWCCTCAGAATGGTGTGGGTTGAAASGGACCTTAAAGGTCATCTCCTTCCGACTCCCTGACATGGGCAGGAACATCTCCCGCTAGACCAGGCTGCTCAGACCCCCATCCAGCCCAAGCTTACACCTCACCTTTCTGCTGAGCTCAGAAGTCCCCCATAACAGGATCACCTTTTCTAATGTTGGCTCTTCTGTATCCGCTCCCCAGAAAACGAATACGTCTAGGGACAGACAGACCAACAACTCCCAACCTTCAAGAAAAGCTGCAGGCATAGACAGACATGTAGTTACAGTTTAGCACCTCTGTAAATTAATTTTCGGGGAACACGCACAGCCGCACCGCTCCGTTGGCCGCAGTGGATCTGTTCYTCCAGCAGGGGGAACTTCCACCCCGCGCTGTGACCTGGAACGAGCCGCGGCGTTACAGCAGCGCTTCGGCTCCCAATACCCGCATTTTGGGTTACAGATCCGCTGGGAACCACAGCTGCAGGTATGGGGCCACCACACASTCCTGCCTCAGGGTCTGCAAGGACCGACAGTAGCAGCATTTCTCCAGCCAGCACAGGCACCACAAAGGCAGAGCTGGGTGGTGTGCTGCAGTAAGAAAGTGTAAATTAGCCGTCTTCTCCATGCATGCTTGCTCTAAGCAAGAATTAACTGCCTTCTCTCCAGAAGAAGCCATTAGGTCATTCAGCCCAAATTCTTGAAGCAGTGAATCATCCTGTGGCTGTCTTATTTGGCTGTCGTAGACAAATAAGTACTTGGAAATCTGTTATCCAAGATTTTTCCYGTGTCAGGATTATTTAGTGTGAGCTTTTAGACTTCATGTTGGCAGACAAACCACAACAYTGTTACAATTAATGGTAGGATATTATCAAGTACAAGGCACAGGTCTCTCTGCAAGAATATTTGTGTAATCACCACAGTGCACAGAACTTGCCACTTAGTACTTGCTGCACTTTTCCTAGACCAAGAGGAGAAGATACTGAATCATAAATACAGATAATACAGGGGACAACACCCAATGCTGCAGCAAAATGTTYTAGTGCTCAAATCATAACTCAGCCTCACATTCTTCCAGCTCACCATGTTCACTGCAATTCCTGCCAGTTGCCATTGCTGCCGACCCYACTGCTCTCTTCTGGGCAGCAGATTTATTTTCTGGCTGGCAGCAATCTCTGACAGGGGTAAGCAGGACACGGACCCTTCTTGTGCTGCTGCTTTGTACACAACTGGCACAATCACCACCTGATGACTGTTGACTGATGGTAGCCTCCAATGTACGCAGAAAGTTAACAAGGTAGTCTGGTGATGGCAAACCTAAGGAGCCTGAGTGTGAATGCAAAGAGCTTTCCTGAAACAGCTGTTTGGTAAACAGAGGGTGAAGGAGAGAAGTTCAGCTCCCATGAGTCACCAGTGGAAGGGTGACAATGCCCCGTACCTACTCCTCCTGGGCTGTGTCTTAGGACAAGTCACACAGCCCTRGGACTCTGAGCTCTGCATGTGACATCCCAAGCATCCTGGAAAGAGGCTTTGCTTGAAGAAAGCCTTCCCTTTGCCATTAGACCACCTTATCCAGTCTATGAAAAACCCTAACCAAACCAACCAACCAACCCAAAAAAAAAAAAAAAAAACCCAAAAGAGACACAAAAGAATTAAAGTGTAGGAACTGATATGAATTAATTTCCACAGCCAGCTCAGCAGAAATGCCATCCAGTGCAAGTGGAACATTTTGGAACTGCTTTAGCAGTGGAAGGCTTGGCAGTGAAAAAACCTACACAGATTGCACCATTAGATGGTTTGATTTCTGTTCCCCAAATTATGAAATAAATAGCTTTGTTACTGAAGGCAGAGCCACCACCCTTGCCCTAAATACTATGCACTCTTCTCYTAGCAACTACTTTTCCCAAGAAGTTCACAGCCATGGAAAAGTCAGACCCCCCAACAGCTCTACTATAATCGACTCATTCCTCTCTGAGCCAGGGAAAGGGGATCTCTGCCTCACAGCTGAACAACAACTGCCACGCCAGGCCTTCTTAGAACAAAAGCGTCACTGACATACATGCACAGGGCACTGTTACCAAATCYAGAAAAGGTCAGGAAAGAGCAAGTGCAGACAAACTCTTACGTCCTCCAATGGATCAAACGTACACCACAGGCATTTAAGAACAGCTGAAGTGCACATAACCCAGCCAAGAAATGTACCCAGGAATAGATAAAAATGTCAGACAGAAAACCTGCARTAGTCGGATGCTGAAGTTCATGTGCCAAAACCAAAAGTGAATGTAAAAATAAATAAAATACACATAACCATAGTGCACACATATATAATGCAGTATTTACAGGACCTAAAAAGTATCAGAAGAAAGATAGTTTGATCAGGAATAAATATTCTGCATCCCATCAAGGAATGCACACACACACACGCACACACACATACACACACACATATATAGACAAATATACTCAGCCTCTTGAAAAACAAATGTTTGGTGTTCACCCACTGGAACAGAATGGGTAACTCCTTGCATTTATCTCCTGACTTCTAATTGGGAAGCAAAAGGAAAGAAACAAGTAAATGAAAATCTAATGGGATAACATGCACAATTAGAGCAAAAATCCAAGAAGAATGCAACTCCTGAACAAAATAATGAAAAACTGTCATTTCTGAAGTGACAGCTTTACTAACAAATACAGAGTAGACAGGAAAAGGTTAATCCTTTTCATGGGGAGTATTGTAAAAGCATGGGGAGACATTCAGTGTTTCCTGGCTGCTATTTCCATCTTTATTATTGAATTAATTGCTTCAGAACKATGGCCATTAGCAAAGAGAGATTAAGCAATGCCTATTTTGTCTCAAAAGTGGTGTGGTCTGGCATTTGCACTGGGAATTGTGATTTCTGAGAAACACTCTTCATTTCAGTGACTCACTACAAGAGCTTGGGGAAAACATGGAGACCAGCATGTCAGGATGTATAATTTGGCTTTAGGTAACCAAAATGGGAGCACTTAGCCACAATTATCCAAATACAAAACTCTGCAGCACAGAGCTCAGCCACTCATACTCACTATCTCAAATATCAAGCTCTGAATACCTCAAGTTGTGTATCAAAAGTGTCTTCTGAGAAGTCTGTTCTTTGCTTCCCATATCCTCTTCTCTAACTCATATGATGCAAGATGCCTCTGCCTTAGAATAAATGCATGTGGGTTTTAGATTAATTCATTAGTGGATCTGAGGTATCTGCAGACCTTCCAGCTCCATGAGAAATTATCCTAGTCCAGCATGTTTTCCACTCTACTGTTTCTGAATCCTAGAAGTATAGAATATCCTGAGCTGGAAGGGACACACAAAGAATGAAGAAATTGCTTGGTTTACAACATTTTATAAATTGATGAATAAATGACTATATGTTAGACTGTGAATTACTTTTTCAGCGTTAAAAGTCAATAAAGACATTAATAAATTACCACTGTTATTACAGTTATTCTGACACTCAGGTTAGATTCCTCATTCCTTGTTAGCTGTTACCATCTTTCCACAAATAAAAACAAAAATTAAAAAACCAAACCTCAGCAACAACAACAAAAACCCCAACCCCAAAATCCTGCAATAGTGACTATGAATAATAAGGCATACTCTAGGAATTTGAAACCAGTAGAAAGACCAAGCTTGTATTAGCTTTAAAACAGGGCATTTAACGGCCATGGTGAACTTCTGTGGATGATGCACAC